TCCACCAATGACATTAGGTTAGAAATCTGGAATTGAATGCCATATCTGTAATTATAGTAGCAAGGACTCATCATTGATCCTCTGCTGTCTGTGTTTATTTGCACCAGAAATGATCTAAAACAGTGATAGACTTGTAAAATTGAAGGTCAAAATCGACGCGTCAAAGTAGAGATACATTGATCACGCACGCACGCACGGCATAACCTGAGAGAAAAAGTCCTAAAGATGTCATATTCATTCATATCTCTCTCTTACATGTCAGCTATACTACCATGTAAGTTTCGTTCCCCAGGGACATTTGTCCACTATTATATTCCAATTCCATGACAACAGATTTTGCTTTCTCTAAAATTAAGTGAGTTGAGCTCTTTCGGCTCCTATACATACATGCTTCTGTAATCCTTCCTCCTATGCATTCGCTAGAGTCACTAAAATGCAAAGCATTCTAAACCCTAACATATCTCAAGCAACACTAAACCTTTAAAATAACGTTAGTTTCAAATGATTGAAAGTGAACATCTACTCAAATTTAGCTCCACTTTGGAATAAATGATTCACAATCTGATTAAAACAGAATATGAATTTACTACTTAACCTTTTCACCAACTAAGAAAATAATAACTAGTGAGAAATGAATAGCGAATTAAGTTGAAAGTAGAAAAGTGTACTCTGTCAACTCGATCGCCACTCGAGCGAAGCACTTGTTCAATACCCCAACCAGGGGGTAACTTAAACCTTGAGGACAAAGGTCTGTACGGAGTAATCGCCGAGGAAGACGCCGTTAGTTGACCGGAAGTTGGGTACTCTGCGCCGCTTCGGTGGCGGCGTAAGGAATTCTGTTTCTCCATGTATGCCTCTTCTAAACATGACACCACTTATTACTTGTATATATATATATTGCTAATTGTTTATTGTTTTCATGACACATTACTAGTCACATGCATTATTCTTTTTTTATGACAACTTCAAATATCTATGTATGTTAAAAAAAAATACTAATAATTAAGTGTATATATATTCCGTACACTAATTACGATTTATTGCAATATATAAAGGGGATGAACTAATGAATGAATTAACCAATGAAGTATTACAGCTTCTTCTTCTAATTAATCCTACAAGAATATATAATGGAGTAAC